CTCTTCTGACTGAATGTTCAGATATACAAAGAACATTGTATCTCCACTTCTTTTCCCAGGGGAATATACTGGACAACTAGAAATGCTTTCTCCTGGGCATCTTTCCACAACAGACCTGTGTCCTTTACTCTAAATTTAGAGTTGCTAACAATTGTGTTGCTACTGAATAAATAAGTTGTTTTTTTTTTTTTTTTTTTGGCTTGATATAGAAGTAAAGAAAAAATATCTATTCATTTTAAACTATTAAAGTTACATACTATATGTTAGAGAAGTAAGGTGATAATCTGATGAAATAACCATAATAATGTAATAGGAAGTTGCAGAGATGGGTGATAATTTTCTACCTTTCTTCATACTCTGAGAATTGGTGATTCCCTACATTATTTAATCTAATTTCAAAACACAGGTTCCTAATCTTGATCCCATGTTTGTCTTTTAAACTGTGAGCAGTGATAGTCTCTTTAGTGAATCTCTCTTTTCTCTCTCTTTCTCTCTCTCTCTCTCTTTTTCACGCACACACATACACACACAACACATTCACCCCATGCCATAGTATATAATTTCAGAATTGTTACTCCTTGAAACACCTCTGTGTACATCTATTTAACATTCACAAAATCTTCCAGCTTATGTTTTGAAACAAAATGTGTATATTTATATATTATAGACTTTGGCTTCTAAAGACCAATATTTTCTTGATTTTGATAATATAAAACAAGTAACAGTTTTACAGCAATGTCCTTTACTATCTAAGAAAACCACAGCATTATAATTTTCAGGAATCCTTTTTAATTTACTCTCCCTGCAGGGTCAATTTGCCTTAAGGATTAATTTCAAAACTATAAACAGTCATTAAAATACAAAACAACCATAGTTGTGAACAGGATATTAAGAAAAAAATCACATCTGTTTTAGAGCTCCATTCCATCCGCAAATTTGGGACATCAATTCCAAGGACCTGGTTTTATGGCATGCCTTTAAGCTAGGAACACCAGGTTACAATCAAGAAAAGGAAGGTAGGATTTCCCACAAGCAGACTCTCACTAAAGTATCCTGTCCCTAGGAGCCTCTTTTTTAAATTCAAAAGCAGTCAGTAGAATTGGATTCTGTATTGCCTTCAAAGATAAATATCCACTGCTATTTGCACATTAATAACTGTTCTATTCTGGTACAAAAAGAGAAAGAAAGGAAAAAAAAATTCCAGGCTGTTTATCTGGTGATAGTTTAACAAATTCTGAGATCTGGTGACTTTTCAATATATTCAGAATTAGAAACTTGCAAAGATTTGATTTTTCTAATTTAGGACCATTTTAAAACTCCAACATGTCTCAGAGTATGTATTTCAATAATCAACTTGTAATGAATTAATCAGTCAGAAAACAACTGCAACATTTCTAACTTTTTGAAAACACATATCTCTGGGCATCAGTGAAATCTCTCCCCTCCATAGTAAACCTAACAAAGTACAACTAAAAACAACACTCATCAACCATGGTTTTAGACGGAATATTTCAACATAATCACATGTGTCAAATATTCATTCTTCAGATTCTTATGCTGTGGGTTTTAAGTAAGTTTCATTTCTTGGGAATGATTGAACATAAGTCGCTTGGGGTCCTGCCATCTGTGAATTACTTACATGTGAATACTCTGTTGAGGAGATGGAAATTTTGATTGTTTTTTTCTCCCCCTTGGATATTGGACTGAAACGCAATTGAACATGGCTTTTTTTAGCAATTATTTTTTCATATAGGTTGCTACATGGCTGCATTATCACATACTCCTCATCTTGATGAACACTTATCCAATCATAGGAAGTAAGGACAGTGCAGCTGAAGCTATAGAGAAGGCATCCAGTAGAACTACAGAGCTGCAAAGATGGAAAATATCCTGGCCTCTGAATTTAAGCTAGCCAGCCTTGGTCCTTAACACACAGGCAGCTCTGCAGTGTGCTCCTGGGTCAGAGCTGGGTCCTCATGTTCCTCTGATTCCCCTGACTCCCCTGAAAGGTTGCCTCTCTTATCCCAGAGAAAAAATGAAAGCAACTGTATGGGTACTTATAGGAAACTGCATAATTCTTATCCATACAGAGGTGCCTCTGAGAGGTAGTGGGAACACTATTCATAATTATGCCAGAGGCATGAAACTAGGATGCTGTAGGTGAAATTCATCATGCTTTTACCCAAGAGATGATGTGGAGCTCAAAGATCTTTTCCCAAGGATCTCAAAGCATTGCATTCATGTTATGCCCTATTTTATTTCTGTCCAGAGCTGTACTATCAATAGAAATAGAAACGATAGATGTAATTCTACATTTTCTAGAAGTCATGTTAAGAAAAAGTAAACAGCAACAAGTAAAAATAACAACAACAGATTTTAATTAATCCACTATGCCAAATACATTGCCATTTGAGGAGATAATCAATACTAATGAGACCTTTTACATTCTTTTTCTTACCGTAGACTTTGAAATCTGGTATGGACCTCACACTTGAAAGACATTGTGATTCACATCAGGCACATTTCAAGTGTTCAGTGATCATGTGTAGCTTGTGGTGATGATATTGGATAATGTATTACAAGGAGGCCACAAGTTTGAATATACAGAAATACATGAATAAAATTATCACACACACATACAAATTATATTTTTGTTCTACATAAAATTAGACATCTCTCAGCTCTTTATTTACTAAGTTTGCCTATCTGTTTCCTGGGGTGAACCAGTTCTTGAAGTAGATTTACCTGGTAGATTCTCGAGGAGAATAAACAGCATGGATGAACTAGATTAGTTATTAATTATTAAGTTGGTTAATTGCTGTGAACCTCCAGAACTTTTCCTAGACTTATATGTATCCTGCATTCCTAAGTCCAAAACACATTCCCTGAGCACTCTCCATGTACTTGCCACTAGATACAAAAAGATTAAAAAGGCACAATGCATGTAACTAGAGATATATACCTTGATGAGATTACATAGTAGTAGCTATAATAGCAGATAACATGATCCACTGCTAGTATATAGTTAAAGGGATAACCATTATTTATATAGCACTGATTATGTGCCTCTGAATGTGAAGCCTTACAGTGTTCATGGAATTTATTGCACGATGGAGGAAAGAGAAGTCTAAGACATGTTTCCATCCCACGGCAAGGCAAGGATCAGAATCTACTCTTGGGTCTCAGTCTGGTCTTCCTTATGCACAGAGAACATAAGAGGAAAGGAGGAAATTGGTGTTTTCCTTGTTACTATCAATAATGTAGGGACTTGGCCCATGTTTGGTAACTTGTGTAGTAGTGAAGTACAAGGACTTGGGGTGCCAGCATTTCTTCTGGAATTGAGATATGCATTTTAGCTAGTACTAATATATCTTCTTGCCCCAAATTCCAATGTGGAAACCACTGATATGATGTGTTGAGGCTCTGAAACCTGTGAGAAAGAGAGAGGCTCTAATTTCCTCTTACAGAAAGCAATATTGATAATCATTTTAATTGGTCTAAGCACTGAGCCTGAATGATAGAAACACAGAAATAAATCTTGATGTATTTTCTACACTCAGACAATGGTAACACATCAATGAAACACACTCTAATTTTAGGGTATATACCTTGCAAAAATACCACTAAATTGTTTATTCTCTTTTCTGTAACTCTCCTATCATTAATATAATTCTCTTTCCCAAATCAAATATACTAAAGCTTAACATCATCAGAAGCAGTGCATATTGAAAGAAAAATAAATGCATCTTATCATATACAGCATTGGCTTTCTTTGTATTTATCATAGATGTTAGGCATCTGATTTTTATTAGAGTTCCAGGAAATATATGCCTTTAAAAGGACAGCATTTTTAAAAGGGTAGTAGCATAACATTACATGTTAAAATATTTTAAAGACAGTTTGTATCTTTAAGGAAAGAAACATTCCAAGATATCATCACAAATTATTAGCACATACCCAGTGACATGGTACAGCAACTCCTACCTCATATACACTGACACAGTTTGTGTAAAGAAAATTATATACAAAACTAGAATTTGTTTATCTCATGCAGCATCCTGATATACCTATAAAATATTGCTTTTTTTCCTTCAGGTGTTATAGATAATGAGACTTAAAACTGAAAAGAGACTTGCACTTAGACTTCTAATATGGTTGTTATTAAAGATCACCTCTTGAAATTATAGAGCGAAAATCTACATCTTCAGGTATTTGGATGGATGAAGCACCATGACAGCTCTTTAAGGTAACTGAGGATTTGGCAGAAATATAGTCTTTACCCTAACAGTTATAAGTAGAGGAATTATAAGTACATCTGGCATATAACTTTATTTTTCTTCAATCTGAATGCTGAATTTTACAAACACAATGCTGGTACCATATATTCACAACATAGGGACCTGAAACTCCATAACCACTCGTAGAGTTATGACTTTGCAAAGCACTGCACTAACACACCAACAAATTTACTAACTATATCTTTGCATGTTGGGAAGCAGGGTGTGAGGGATGTGCAACAGCTCAGAGTGCTTGTTCATGCTAGTTCAAAGTAGTCTTTGGATCAGACCACTTGGGTCAGTCCCTGGTTGTGCCATCTCTTAGCTATATGGTCTTAAACAAATTACTAAATCTCTTCCCTACCTCGATTTCTCATAAATAAAATGGATACAAAACTTCTACCTACCTTGATGTAGAAGTTTAGATGGCAATGGAATGTACTTAGAACAGGGTTTGGCACATAAACAGTGCTATATAAATAATGGTTATTTCTTTATATACTAGCAATAGATCATGTTGTCTATTATTATAACTACTACTATGTAATCTTATCAAGATATGTATCTCCAATTGATTATTAATTTACTTAAAACCAACTATAACTACTACTACACATCTTGTCTAGACATAGGTCTCTATTTAATTATCAGTTTACCCAAAGTCTCAGTCCATGGGTAAGGTCTTTGATCTTTCACTACAAATGCCACTGGCAGGATACCTACTGAAACAACAGGTCTCACACTCTGGCCACCTGGGTGTGTAGCTCTCGGCTGAGCATCAGCAGGTGGCCCAGGCGCTGGGTCACTGCTTCTCCTCACCAGCAGTGGAGTGCCTGCAAGACAAAGTGAGAGGTGATAGGCCACAGCTTCCTGGGGAAAGAGAGGACACGGCACAATGCACTTTAATTAGGAAGGTTTACACCATGCTTTGCGGAAGAACATTCTATTTCTAAGGATGCTTGTGAATTAATCCATTTAATGGTCTTTCATCATTTATATGTAGAATGGCACATACAAAAAAAAAATTCATTCAAATTGTATCTTTCCCCACTTACATTTTAAAACAAGCCATTGCATTTAAAAGAAAGTGTTAAGGTATGCAAAAGTAAACAGAGGCCATCTACAAAGTGATCTGGAAAATATATGTAAATATTAAAAAAAAGAATGATTATCCAGAAGATGAATAAAGAGGTTCACAGAGCCAATGTAATTTGCAGTTCAGTAAAACTAGAAGTATAGTTATTACTGCCATTTGGTTTTTCCCAAATGATGATACAGACTGAAATAAATTATTTGCAGAGGTTATAGCATTAATGTCTATTTAAGTACGCAAAGAGATTAGTTTCATTCTCTTCCCTTTCTCATAAAGTATATAAAACTGATAAAGAAAATAAGTTAGTTCTTCTAAAAATATACCCTGATTTCTTTTTAATTTAATAAAAGCTTCCACTATTAAATATTTGAGTCAGTTATTAAATTCTGAAAAAAAGATCATACTATTAGAAAGTTCAAATGAAATTCAACCTTAGCAGAGCTAGTGCCCTAACTACTCTGACTGCAATTAGGCTTAAAATAATGGTTCATACAAAATTGGCCACTACAGAGACAAAAAAAAGCTCGAAAAAAAACTGCTTGTGGTTTAAAAATCACTCTCACATAAAAATTAACTTTTCATTCTTGTGCTTTGGGGAGAAGTATCGAATGCAGTTGAAATGCAATTTCCCACTTATCAATATTCTGAAAATAATTCCCCAACTCTCTCAAGCTATTACAATTTAAAGGAACATTTTTCATCCACATTTGAGTTATTTACAAAACTTCTTTTATATATTTCTTAACAATTTTGTTCTGGACATACACAGAATTGCTAAAATTCTTCAGCCTTCTCTAGATAAGAGAACTTAAATCTAAAAAAATGTTTTCTTCCATAATAAGGAATTAACATGTTACTTGAGATTCAGAAACTATGTCAAAAGGTATTACAAAGTCCAAGTTCACGTTCTTTATTTCTTTTTCTTCATTAATTAGATACATCACTGCTATTCTTCACCTTTACATCTCATTTTCAAAATTTCTGAAGCAAATAACTTACCAATATTTGGGTGTTTAGCAGTTGTTTCCAGAATGAAACTTTATTTGAAAAACAGGAAGAATCAAAACAAAAAGAAATATAATAAAACCCAATCTCATATCAACAATTTTTTCCCTTTTTTGGCTGATCAGACTATTCAACTCCTTTCTGATTAAGCTCCTGAATTACCAGTAATATGAAATGAACAAGTCAGTCTACCACAACATGTAATCTTTAAGGAAATGCAGTGAGTTCCATGAAATTCTGGGTTATTTCCAAGCATTTCCCAGATCAGGACAGTACAAATCAACAGTCTCAAATTGGGGGGAGACAAACAAACCAAAGATGGTCCTTATGGATCACTAAGGCCCTTTCTTTCTCAAAAGAAGTTGATTTAGAGGCAGTGAAATGTAAATGTAAAGGATCAACAATTTTAGTTACGTGTTTTCAGCTGAGTCATCTGTCTATCTATCCTTCTGAGTGTGTAACACAATTGTTTTGGGTGTAACAAATATACCTCTAAACTACAATGATAGTTTTCCTTCACCTTTAAGGACACATGTCTAAGATTTGTTATAGTGTCTGTATTTCCTGTTTCAATGACAACATGTGAAATTATTTAAGATATATTTTTAAAATAGCATGTATTCAGGTTTGTGCCTGCAGTTAAAACACCAGTGGGTTATCCAGAACTTATCAGTTGTCTGGAACATTTAAAAAATTACTTGGTACCTCCTTCATATGTACAATTTTATGTATCAGTAAAAATAAATATAATTAATAATACAAAAAACCCAAAACCGACCAAACTTTAAGACGGTTAGATCTCTCTTAAACATATTCTCAGCTTATCAAAAAAAAGTTCTCCTTTCTCTACTTATTCTATTTTTACTCCATATTTGAAAGTCTTCTGCTGAGTCACCTTCCAATTTTCCTTTGGCTGTCTTAATGTGTTAATAGCAAGTACAAATCATTCCATATTGGAATTATTGATGAGCATCATGAAATACGAAGTGCTGTCTCAGAGAGTTTTAAACAAGCCTTCCTTGAATTACTTTTTCAACTGCCACCCCTCTTTTTAAGAGTGGCTCTCAGGAAGAGACCAAGTTACAACTTAAGGACAAAGAGCGATATGACCTGATGTACAACAGCAGACAAGCAATGAAAAGCAGTGAAGATGAAATTGTGAGACATGGAGTGGAGAAGAAGTCACATTTCCCAAGTAAAGCTAACAGACAAAAGAGGGAGATGAGCTCATGGACCTGTATAGACCCTGCTATGGTGGAAATGAGGGGAATTAAAAAGAACCTCTACACTGAAGGATTTTATAACTTAACCATCAGTAGTAGACACTAACACCAATACAGTAGACAGATTAAGAGAATCAAGCAGACTAAGCTTTACCCTCTTTAGCTTTGTGATAATGGCTTTGGACTGTTCTGTGACAGTCTAACTTTATAAAACCTGGTGACAATGCATTATAGAACTGACAGGAAATGGTCCTAAAATAAGGCACACATGGGAAATGCACTGTCCAGTACATAATTCTCAGGCCTGAAGTGTACCCTCTGCCCCATCGTGGAAGAAACAGAGCTTTTTATTTGTTGTGAATAGTGTTATCTGCAGAAAGAACTGAACTTCTAAAAATCAAATTAATTTTCATGGGATAATATGTAAATGAAAATAGTAAAATCCAATTCTGTGCTAAACTAGATATAACCTTACACTGGAAGTCAAAGCTTTTAAGAAGAAAAAAAATGATGGAGCAAAAAGGAATTCAAATACGGTAAAAACTGCAATCCATTAAGGTATTTAGGTAATTGGGAAAACACTTAAATTTTGGATGTGAAAAGCATTTATTTCAGCCCAAGGAGCAAGAGCATTCTTTGGAATCACCATTTACAAGCCACTAGATGTAAAACCCAAATAAAATAAGGAGTACTGGGTGCTTTAAAGCATAAAGTCCTGTATAACCTTAAGATGTTTTCCGCACAGTTAAATACTTGAAGCTGTACTATGTACTAGCACATACAGAGGGGGTGGCAATGATACTAAGATGAACAGTTGCGGTGTTCGCTCTTGGCTTATCTTAGAGACAGGAAAATGTGGGCACAGGGAACATTTTGGTCCATTTCAGTACAACATAAAGGCAAGTAACTAGTACAAGCGCCTGGATAACTGGAGAACCGGTACAGATGAAGACTCACACTAGGGGCTGTGTCATTTTATTTATCCAGACACAGTGAATCTGAAGGGAAGCCAAAGAGCTACTTGGAGCATGAGAAGAGTGTCTGATTGGGTATATAGCTGCTGGTGACTATGTCCTCACCAGAGTGGGTCTTGCCACATGAAACTCCATTCCTTCTGCACTACCACCCATGCATGTTCAGCACCTAGGCTACAGTCAAGGAAAACTTATATCCTCACTCACAGGACATGCCTTGAAGAAGATGGCCATGTTCACCAAGTCCTCCCAGGATTCAAGCCAGTTAGCACTGGTCTAGTCACACTCTCAAGGGAGAAGAAGAAGAGTTAGCTTGTAAGGATCTATGAATCACAGTGCACTTTCCAGTTCTCAAGCAATCACCACTTTAATGATGGCAAAATTGGTATTCAAAGTGGTACAGTTACTCATCCATTGTCCCCTTTAAATGTCACCAGGAATGGCAGCCTCAAGAATGGTAGCCTAATTTAGTTTGAGGAAGGAATTTTGAAAGGTAGCAACTGATTTTTTCCATCATTGTCATCATAGCTAATTTACTTATTTTCTTAACTTTTGTTAGCACATGTTTGCAGTACATAATGATTATATTTACTGTGGGGAGCAGGTACATACATGCATATAACACATCTCAATTTTTTGCCTTCCCCTAAGCAATTAATTAAAGGTTCAAATCAATACATCCATGGATTATGTAAAACACAACAGACATGTGAGGTGCTTTCTACATAAATATGTTTCTGTCCCTGTTACACACAGACACACACACACAACTGGGTGACTTCTTTTTCCACATTTGAAGGATGTATTTGGGAGTAGCTGGTTTAAAGGACAGATGATGATGTTTAATATTAAGCTCGGGGGCCTTGAAGGACAGGCTGTCATGGAGATTGAAACCAAAGTGCTGAAGAATCATAACACATGATGACACTGGTGGCAGAAAAAATAAACAATGGTTTTAAATAAGATCCCCACATCAAAAGTCACAGACACATGTTGAAAATTGCACGGTGAGTAGCAGAGAGGCTTATTTATTTAAAGACGTTTAATGATCCTTCTGAGCAAAAGCAGAAGGCCAGCTTTTCATCCTAGTGTTAGTGCCATTTAATCGCAGGGTGATCACAGGAAAAGCCCTGACATGACAGTCTATAAGAACGAGGAGCTTCTGCTGCACAGAGCCTGGAAAGGGATGTCAAGATGGTGAACAGGGTGTCTGCAGTCCTGGGCAAAAATAGAGAGAGAGAAGCTGGAGGAGGATATGGGAAAATTTGACAAATGACTACACACCGTGCCAACAAGGAGGAACATAAGACAGATACCAAAAACCCTTCTTCCATTTCTTGCTGGGAGAAGAGCAATGGGGATGTTTTGGCAACTGCCATGATTTGTGTCAGAGAAAACACAAATCTTGGCTTCAGCCCACTGTGTGTTAGAAGGATGCTTTAAATTGAAAATGCCTTGATAAGTGTGAGAAACCAAAGATAAGATTTTCAATGGGGCAAATTCAGAAAGATAAATATGAAGTTAATATTGGAAATTAT